ATGTTAAGCGAAATAAGCCAGTCAGAGAAAGACGAACTCTATATGACTCCACTCATAGGTGGAAATTAGTATACTGATAAGGAGATCTGATTGGTGGTTACCAGGGAAAAGGGGGGGTGGGGGGAGGGTACGGAGGGGGAAGTGGTGTACCCACAACATGACTAACAAAAATGTACAACTGAAATCTCACAAGGTTGTAATCTATCATAACATTAATTAAAAAAAAAAAAAAAAGAATAACCAAGTCACATCCAGTTTGGGCTTTTTCCTCAACACGATGAAGTGATGAGGAAATGGTAATGCGCCTCCCATCCTTGGTCAGGACATGCTTCTCTCTCTGACCTCTGCTTGCCAAGAGGGAGAAATGGTGAGAAGCGCTGCCCCTAGGTGTCAGCTGGGATTACCTGAGGAAAGGGGGCAGGCGGAGGAGGGGTGAATAGCTTCCTTTACTTTATGTGCTTCTCCACTGCCTGGATTCCCTTAAACAGACATATTATTGTGATATCCTTTCTACTGCACGGATCCACCCCATAAATCAAGCAGCTGGACTTACCGAGAAGCCCAAGACTGAGGCGCGAGCAGAGGACCGACTTGCCTCGATGCAATCAGCTTGCTAAAAGCCGATGGGTAACTCACTTGGAACGCAGTCTCCTCTTGATCTTTTTTCTCTACAGGAGAACTGCTGACACTTCGGGCACTGAGGCTCTCTTTTCTAACAGAGGGAAAAATCGAAGGTGAACGGTCATTGGTTTTCCTTCACCTTAGAGAAGCAACCACGAGGAAGAGCGATTTCACCTACTTCGGATTGCTTTTGTAAACGGATTCTGCCAGGCCCGAGCTCTTAGGTGTGGGTGCGGTGGCACTCGGGGTTCTGTGAGGAGGTGCCACCAGCCTCGGGGTACCTTGCTGGGGCTCACTGATTCTAACACCAGTCTTCGACTCCAGGCGGCACAGCTCCTTCAGAGAGACAAGTACGGTGGAGTTTAAAATGTAAGTACCCAAGACGTGTCCGACCCCGTCCAGAAAACACTTGACTTTGAGGATCATCGAAAAAGGACACACCGAAAGCCAAGTGGGCATATAAAACACAGCCTATGAAACCTACCATAAACTTCAGAGAGCAAGAGGTCTCAAGATTACCTGTAAACTTTTCACATTTGTGTTTTTGGTGGCAGATCCCGAATTGGCCTGCGACCCTTTTCCAGGCGTGGCTCTGGCACTGGCAGGCTGTTCGCTTGCATCTTTGACGAGGCACAGTTTGGGATTCTTAAGTTTTTTTGGAGACTTCACCTTATCGGTAAGTGCATTGGAACTCTTTGTTTCACAGAGTTCTCTATTTTTTGGAGTGAATGACACAATGATCCTATTACCAAAGACATCCTCATTCTCCATGCGCTTCTGAGCCCGCTCTGCACTATCCTGGTTTATGAAGCGGAGAATTGCACTGCAGCCTGTGATGCTCAGCACTTTCCCACCACAATTATCGGACAGGCGTCGGAGCCTGTTGCTGATGCTCTTGCCATCTTTATTTGCTGGTAGGTTATAAACATAGAGCAGAGTGTGGCACTGCTGATACAGAGGAAAAGGTTACAACAGGTTAACTCAAGGGCGCACGCTCAGTCACCAAGTAAGAATTCCAATGAGCCACCTCCAGACTTAAGTAATGACACTGGAGGGGAGGTAACAGTGATTTAGACAGGAGAAGGTTAACTTATTTAGACTGAAGAACACACAGAAAGAAAAACGTATCTTAAGTTATCACTCTAGTAAATGAGACTGGCAAGATTTAATGTTCTGAATAATCAGGTCTTTTTTTTCTTTTTTTTTGATGAGGATTAGCCCTGTGCTAATATCTGCTGCCAATCCTCCTCTTTTTGCTGAGGAAGACTGGCCCTGAGCTGACACCTGTGCCCATCTTCCTCTACTTTATATGTGGGACGCCTGCCACAGCATGGCTTGTTGAGCAGTGTGTAGGTCCACACCTGGGATTCGAACTGGCGAACTCTGGGCCGCTGAGGTGGAATGTGCAAACTTAACCACTGCACCACCAGGGCGGCCCCTCTTTTTTTTTTTTTCTTAACCATAAGGAATAAGGATCTCCAAAGCGGGTAATCTCTCACCTAAAACATTACATTCGTCTTAAAGGCCTTCAGGTTAGAAAATGAGTCCCAAACAGAAGCAGAGAGAGGAAACGTAGCCAAAGCCAAAAGACTAAAACCATAATGAAGAACAAAGGTGGATCGGGGGAGCAGCTCCAAAGGCTGAAGTAAGGCCTGTGTGGATGTCACTGTTGGGGCCAGAAGGCTGCAGGCTGTCCTCAGCACGTGTTTAATCTCGGCCTGTTGGGCACTGGAGATGCAGTGGGACAAGCAGCGCCCGTGTTTGAACTGGGAGAGCGGGGTCCCATCTCTGTTCTGCTGCAGTGGAATGGTGTGACTCCCAGCGACCTGCCTCCTTTCTCTAAGTGCTGACCTCCTTCTGCCTAAGATGAGGACGTCGGAGGAGATCATTTCTAAGGGAGCTCTGTAGCTCTCAAGTTATTAGATTATGTTAAACCTGCATTTAACGTATGGGACTGCCCACTCTTCTGCTTCATCCACACTGCAGCTCCTCTCCATTATTACTATTTCTTTAAGTTACACAGATGCCCCCAACAGCTTAAACACAGCTCAGCACGGCAACGAACATTCTTATTCCAAATCAAGGCTATCAGAAAAGCTTACCCTGCTGGAAATATGCTCACGTTCTCCTATCATGGGCTTAACAGGCTACAGGTGTAGCTATAACCACTCCTCCTAACTGTGCGTGTGCACGACAGAAAACATAGGCTCAGAGGCCGCTGGAGCCTAAGGATTAAATGCCTAAAAATGATACAATTACTCCATTGATTTCTCTTCAACCTGTCACACCAGTAGGTGCAAATCATTCTCATATTCTTTACCCATAATACTTGGAAGCAGAAAGAATAATAACTCTTACTCCATTACTTCCATCCACCTGACAAAACATTGCTAGCTTTGGAGACATTGGCAAGGGACTGCTGGTAAGGTAAACCTACAAGTCAATTCTCTACGATATTTTGAAAAAATAAAAGAAGATTCATACTTAACAATTCTCTGTACATGTAAGAGAAGAACTGAAGGTTTCTAAGCCTCGTTTCAAAATCTGGCCAGTCTCCTACAAGGAAAAGCCTCACCTGGGCTTGGAGACCCCTTGTTGAGGGCTGTCTTTAGCCTCCATAACCTAAGGTTGGAATACGGAAAAAGAACGCAAACCCACTTACTGGCATTTTTAGTGGCAACCTGGGGGGTAAGTCGGAAATGAATTCTTCAAATCTGATGAGCTCGTTAGCGTGGTGCAGCAGTGCTTCTGAGGCCTGGTTTTTATGGACCAAGATTATGTGGAAACCATGCCTGTGTCTCAGGTCACTAAGTTCCAAAGCGAAATTGACGTCAGCTGAAAGAAAGGTACACCCCACCCCATCCCCAAACGTTAGAAACACGTGACAGAGACAGACAACTCCACTGACGCCCACTGAGAAGGAAGGAATGGCCGGATTGTATTCCAAGTTGCTTCCCCCTCCCCCCGCCTCCCAGCCATTTAAAAACGGGAGCCTCTCTCGTATCAGAAGAATTAATACAGTAAGACAATTTTACCACTTATTTATATTGAATCCCAAGACACATGCTACTTCCAGAAGTAAATGGAGCAAATATTAATATTTTGGGGAGCCTCAACTTTGGAAATGATCTTAGATTTTTAAAATTAGCAATACTGGGCCTGGGGTAAAAAAAATATATATTACATTTTCTTGAATCAACGTGACCCCACAAGAATCCTTACTCAAGTTTCAAGAAGAAAATACAGAAATCCACGTAGACCCGATTTTTTTCTAAACAGTTCGCAGAGGTAAGTGATGAGAGACATAAATATACCCCATCACTTCAGCCTCTCCGGGGGCACATTTTACTTTAACACGTTTTGGCTTCTGTGATAATACCCAGGCAGTGAGTTGTGCTGAGATCAGCAGACGTCGCTAGACTTACTTGACACGAGAACCACAGTGGCTGGGGCGGTGTGCGTATTTGCAAACCTTCGGAGGCTCTGGCGAAGTTTATCGTCAGCAGCATTCTTCGCAGTAGCATTGATGTGGGCAACGGTTACCTGCATCAATAACAAGGACAAATGAGCAAGAGCTGAGGTTAGAAGATCACGACACCTTCTGCCACATCTTAATGGATAGGCCTTGAGGAAAGAATATTTTGTTTTTTTTTTGAGGAAGATTGGCCCTGAACTAACATCTGCACCCATCTTCTTCTACTTTATATGTGGGATGCCTGCCACAGCATGGCTTGGCAAGCAGTGTGCAGGTCTGTGCCCAGGATCCGAACTGGTGAACCCTGGGCTGCCGAAGCGGAGTGTACAAACTTAACTGCTGCGCCACCAGGCCGGCCCTGGAAAGAACTCTTTTAATGTTATTATTGCCACTTACGAATGGAAGAAAATTACAACCAGATCTCAGTAATTTCAAATTTGCTTCTCGATACAAATTAACTGGCCCCATGACTACCCCTGCTCTCATCTCTAACCTTCTGCTTTTGCACCTCATCCATCCCCCTTGCAGAGAAAAGGAAGTGAAACTTGAAGTAGTTCAAATTATATTAGCTCTCACTAATAGCTTTTGCCAACAATTTTGGATTGGTAGAGATTTGACAGATGATTACGGTCAGATTTGGGGCTATATTTGATGTCATTTGTCTATGCTATACATTGTCTATGGCTGTCAGGATCTGGGTTAGGGAGTAGGAGAGGAGAGACCCCTGTCCCTAAGGGAGCTAAGATGTGTTTACTCTTGTTATAACGATCAGGCCCACGTGCAACAGTTTCCAAAGCGAGGAAAGGTTTGTTTTGAGAGATGCCTCAACTACCTGCAATACACAATAGGATTTACTAGTTTTGTAAGCAATATAAACATAATTTTAGGCAACAATATGGCATATCAAAGGAATTACTTGTCTAAGTCAGAAGAACTGGGTTTGAATTCCAGCTTAAGAGAACAGACTTTGAGGTCAGACAATTTGGATTGAAATTCTAGTTCATCCACTTACTGGCCATATGATCTTTAAAAAGTTGCTTAATCTCTTGGGGCTTCAGTTGCATTTGTAAATTTCAAATAATAAATCCTGTGACCATTGTTCACAGAGCAATTATGCAAATCAAAGGAAACGATACATATGTAACCGTTAAACTAGTATAGCTCTAGTCACATAGAAATAGCATTATTGAAAGATCAGATATGATTAAATGATTTCTGGAACTTTGGAAATAATCTGCTAATATCCTTCATTTGCAACCTTAGCACAAATGCATATTATTAAACCAATTTTGAATTGGAATTCTTTAAAAAAAAAAATCACATGTGCTTATTCTTCTAACATAACAGATTAAAATTCTTTTTGTTTTTACCTGGCAATTATTCAGCTCTTGAATTACTTCTTTGTTTTCCTTACTGATGTCACACACACAGATGAATTCTGCTTCTCTGTGGCCTTTAAAAAACTTCTCACGGATTCTCTGTACAACAGCAGTAGCTGAACGGCCAGAGGGAACTGAGCAGTTTTCAATATCCCAAAACACCCCAATGGGGGGTAAGTTTTCTAGCACCTGTCCAGCTAGTCCAACTTCCGGTGACCCTTAAGAAATATGAACACTTTCAATTACACATAGTGAAAGAGAAACGGCAAATTACAATAATAGGCAGCTACCTATCGTTCTTAGTGGTAGAAAGACGAAATTATTGATTGAAGTTAAGTTTAAGGACACCAACCTCATTGGTTGACCTAATAAGACAAACAACCCAAGTTGCCATAATATCTCTAAGTGATTATTCCTATTTTTAGGAGAGAACAAATCTAAAGGTCAAGTTACTTTAAGCCCACAATAAACCCACGGCAAAGCACGAGCCATTCTCGTGCTGACCAGCTCTGCCTCTCTGAACACTACACAGAGGTGAATGGACCCTGCAGCCCTGGGGTCTGATTTTCATGCTCTGCCCACATCTGTCCACCTACCAAGAATGAAGAACAGGGAAGAGGCGACGAGGGGTGAAGTTGTTACTGTCTTTGATTTTAAATGATTTTTAACATTGCATTAACATTGGATTTAACAGTTTAAAGAGTGTTGTTGAAAGATAAAATATCACGTTAACTACCTTTTGGGGAAATGATCTTAGGTTTTCATATACAGTTTTTCATCAGCCATTACTAAATCTTTCTAAATACTAGGAACTTCCAGCAAGCAGACAATCACCAAGTGTGATTATGAACCTAAGTTGACACCAAGTTCCCTCCAACACTTATTTCTCCTAATATACTCCCCATTTTACTACCACAGCTTCTGATCTCAAATAGCCTCGGCCCGACATAAAGGGGAAATGACTTCGTGGTCTATGAGAATAAAAAGATTTCTGCCAAAAGAGAGAAATGGAGACTCACATACACAGTAGCTTTAGAACCACAAGGAGTTTTTGAAAGGCAACGAAATGCAGTGTTAGTATTAGATACTGAAAACTAAATATGCACATTTTATACCATAGTGTCATTTACCAAATTTCGAAGCAGCTTTGCCTAGACTGGTCGCCAATAACAGCGTGGTCTCCTTGCCCGTTCCTTTGGTTCCGCAGCCATTACACAGAGGAATAGTAACAGGTGCACTCTGAGCATTTGGAGGTGGTATATTTGGCCAGACTTTAGCAGCATCAATTATACTATTTCTTGCCGGCTGTTTTAAAATTTTTTTAAAAAAGGAGGAGGTTTCAGATACATCATTTCAGAACCTAGAGATATATACAACAACTGAAAACACATTCTAAGTGTTTCTCCTTTCCACCTGCTAACCTCTGATAAAATGTATTTTCAAATCATCTTTCCCAGAACTATGAGCTATCAATTCATAAATGCACTTGAAGAAGTGACTTGAAATTACCAGGGAAGATATTCACATGGTCAGACCTTTACATTCTGGGGCAACGGAGACCGCAGACACACTTTACGTGAAGGGCATTAGTCTTTACTAGAACACTGGTGTGACTGAGGCCAAGTTTCAAGTTCCCCAAGTTATCACAAAAGGACAACATGCAGTTGCCTACATTACATGAATGGGTCCGTGTATAAGGTGTTAGCTGTAAGTAATCACAACTGTGCTCCAGCCTTTAAAGACAAAACAGAGCCCGAAGCTTGGCTGAACTACGTTCACACGCGGGAAATAGATTTATGACGACAGGTGACTCTAAGGGCATCAACTACATCAATAATTACTCTGCACTTTTTCGAATGGTCTCTCCCATCGCTTCTTTCAGGACCAGCAGGAGTTATGGTGATGGGGAGAAAGCTACATCACGGAAGAATCTCCAACCCCAAGCACAACAAAGCTTTTCCAAGATAGATCCGCTTTAAAAAAGTCATTCCTCAAACCTCAGCTGCACCCAACATAACAAAGAAAAAGATACGAACCTTGTTTAGGCAGTCTTCGCAGTAAAGTGAGCCCTTTAAACAAACCGGAGGTACCACATTTAGGTGCAAAGAGTTGGTGCACAGGTGAGGCGTTAGCTCCGACTGTGAAATGTGCTCTTCCAAATGCCCGGGAGCCCCACTTGTGAAATCAGAACAGGGGAAATAGCCAGCGGAGGGGCAGCCCTGCAGAGCCGGGAGCTGATGCAGCTGGTGCACGTTACCGTGACAGGACTGGAAATGGAGCTTTCCACAACAGGGCAGGTGTTTGCAGGATGAGAGGTTACCTTCTAGACGCATGCTGGGAAAGTCACTGGCAATGCCGGCCAAGTTATTCCTAGCTGAGGCATTCTGGAGTGAAGATGCAGACTGGAAAGCAAGCCCGGACCCTACCTGACACGTGATGGTCCTGCTGCTCTGCGAGTCTAACAGTGCGCCCGTGTGAATCAAGCTACCAGCACCTCCGCTACCGCCGCCACCGCCACCACCAAAACGCATCGGCGAAGTGGAGGGCTCACTAGAGCAATGAGCACAGCAGCTTACTTTGGGGACGGCTGAAAGCTGTATTTTAGGTTGCTGAAGAGAATGAATATCTGGAAGAGGGACTGCTGGGAAAAGCTTAGAGCCAGCATGAAGGGGAGATGGTGCATCCTTTAATTCCACAGCGACTTTCTTGTTCTCCATGTAATCTTTCTGAGGGAGAAAATCACAACACAAGGTAATTGTATGAGGCCAGCGACTTTGGGTTACGTACATCCTACTGCATGCAGAAACGGAAATAAATGGTGTTCAGTCTTGCCTACATCCCTCAATCTTAACCCAACAAACGGAACGGCAGCTAAAACGAGGGGCTCTCTTCAGAGAGGCCTGCGGGAGATGAGCATCGAACAGACCGTTGAAACTAAGACTGTGTCCTTCCTGAGTCTTAAGAGACGGGGGGGGGGGGGGGGGGGGGGTTGTTTACATCTTCAGTGAGCCGGTTACCCAGCCACGTCTCACTGATCTCCCTTTCTAACTTCCCCTTGCCTCACGGGGTCTTCTGAAGACAAAGCAGATGGCACGGAAACAACAGAGTCACAAACAGCATTCCATAAAGAGGGCTTACAGGCCAAGTGCTGTGAGGAAAATATTTAATAGTTCTTGCAGTCAGACCGTAAAGGGGTTTTAGGAAAGTCCTCCAGAGAAGAAGATGCCAAACCCTAAGGATGAGATGAGCCACCCGCCCCAGTGGCCTGTCTGTGGAAAGGTCTTAAAACATGTTCCTGATGACATTTAGCAAACCCTAGGATATCATGTCCTAAAGCCATAATGCCAACAACTATTTTGCAGCCAGTGAAAAGAACTAGAGTAATAAGATAACTATCTAAAAAGACACAAGAGAAATGGTTTGTCATATGCCTCCAACACAGACACATGAGGCTAGTACCTTTCTAAGGCTTATGGTATGGCACTGGTGTCAGAGACCTGGGTTTGAATGTGATACTCAATAGTTTTACGACCCTGAGTAAGTGATTAACCTCCGTGGGCTTCAGTTTCCTCATCCTTCAGTTGGAAAGAACAGAATGTGCTCCGATAGCTGTCAGAAGGACAAAGTGGGATACTGCACATAAAGGACTCAGCAGCGCGCCTGGCCACTGAGAGGGGTCAACTCATCAACAGCCTTTCTTGGCTGACTGCAGAAACTGAGGCTGAAGAGGATGCCCTGATACAGTGACCGCCACACGCTCACCCCTCAGAGCACAGGAGGGGCCGTCTGACTGCTGGGATTGTACTCCTTTTGCCATGATTCTACACTCAGGTGGGAGGGTACGCTCATTTGGGAGAAATCTGGGTTTGCAGTGAGACTTTTCCTAAAAAGGAGGTAACGGCAATGGACTGATGAGCCGACAAGCAGTGTGTTCTGCCCTCTTGGTAATTAGAGTTCAGGCTGGAAATTAATTCACTGGCATTCTGATTTATCTAGATCTGGCTCTTATGGGCAGGGGGACTATAACTTGGTCCCCCTGAATGTACTCGATTCTGGGTGCCACAGACAAAATCGCGTTTCTGGATCTGTAAAGTTGAGAGTGCGATTCTGTACCGTGTGACTCCACGAGGGCCTGACCTGCCATCCCAGGAAGCCCTGCTTGAGCGGCCAACCCTGCTGTCAACTGTCCCTAAAGTCAAACACTTCTGGAACGACCCCAATTACTGATGCCATGCAACAAAGATAACTACATAATGGAAACCAGGAGAAGATGGGGAATTTGATTTCTTTTTTAAGTTATTATTAATACCCTTATAGAAATTCACAGTAAAGTCTCATTTAAATCCTAAGTGCAATAGTAAAAAAAAAAAAATGAAATAGACAAGTGGTAACGATGCATGAAATGAAATCAGAAGTAGTTAAGATCACTATGAAAAGAAAAAGGAAGACGTTACAGGCATATTTAAATACTCAAGAGAAATCTTGAACAGGAAAAGACTGTCAATAAGGTCCTATCAATCTTTCCTTGATTGTAAGACTCAAAACTCAGAAGGCCACAGTAAAATAAAACCTGTTTTGTACTCTCCTCCGATTCTACAAGATGGATTTAATCTTTGGAACATGTGACTTTAATGAGAAACAAATCTTCCCAAAATGTTAACATTAAATATTTCTTCAACCATCTACTGTTCCTTAAGAGTGGATGTAAAGAAGTTAAACTATGCTCTCATTGAGTCAGGAATTATAATACTGTGCTCCAAGCAGTACTAGAAGGAGGGTACAACGGAGAACCCAGTGCAGCCTCCAGAGAGAGAGCCCAGCCCAGGCCAAACGGACCTCTCCTCTATTTGCGTAAGGAATTCGCTATGTCCTTAGCCTTGCACATAGTTACCGTTTGGGGACTAAGTGGCAACGTCTGCTCAGGACGAGAAAAGCAATTAGAGAATTTCCAAAGCCATGGTTTAGCATCGTTATCTCGCTGAAGCCATCCCAGAGTTCTACTGCAGGAGTTCTCACTTCCGGTTCCTTCCATCATACAGCCATACAAAGTGGTTCAACATTCTTTCATCTTTCTTTTCTTTCATTCTTCCACCCTGTTAAGAAGGAGACATCAATGTCATTTATTTGCGGACATATAAATCTTACAATTTATTAAAATGTGAGACTGCAACTCTATTTATGGTGCAACGGCTCCCAACAAGTCAGATCTTAAGGAACAAAAGTAGAACAGCTATCAAAGCATATTACAGGTCACTAAAACTTCATAAACTTGGTTGGCTGTTTACGCTTGAACTCCAACTGTATCAACCTGATTTTTTTTAGAAAAAATCTATAATCTTCCATCTCTCATGTTCCACAGCTCTTCGGTTTCAAATGAACTCTGGCTGAGCCCTATTTCTTTTCGATAAACAGCCATGCTTGCGAGAAGGAGCCCGACCCCGGACACCTGCGCATCCCTGAGCGGAACCTGTCTGCTTCACTTGGCTGCAGCCAACTTCCTCTGGCCCTGGGCAAATGTTTTCTATAGCTTTTCTTAATTCTGCTCAACTTTCTCTCTCTAAAGACTGTACTTGTGAGAGTCAAAAAGTTAACAGAAGAGAGCATGTCATTTTAGTAAAAGAACAACCACGTCCTCATTACGAATTATGTAAGATTTTGAAATTGATTTAAAAGCAACCTATCCCACTGTGTCTTTGATATGAGTATGGAAGGCCCAAATTAAGTAACCTCTGTGAACTTTGAATTTGATTCTGCTGCAGAACAAATTGAACCAATTTCTTAGTTTACTTATTACGCAAGGGCAATCTGATATCCCACCACAAATCTCAGAGAAATCTCAAGCCACAGATGAGCTGTGTCTACTCCAGTGCTACAACACTCTTACAAGTCTTAAACGGTACAATAAAAGCAGATCAAATCAATAACAGCCATTTGGCCTGGAGGCAGACTGCCAATGGCAAGGACAACTGAACCTCATTTCCAGTCCTCGCCATCAGCCCCCAACAACCACCTATTACCTACAGGGGCCATTTTAAGGTTATTAATTTTTCTTGCAGAAAAGAATTTCTTTTAGCTATGTCTCTTGTAAGACGCTCTTTTCAAGGGATTTTAACATCCACATATTAGGGTGAGGGGAGAGAGACCTATACAAGCACTCTATCTCAGGTCCTGGAGAACTGATCACATACAGCACAGACAGACGAACCATGCCTACCAGCCAAAACCAGCCCACTGCTTGTGTTTAAATGGCCTTCAACTACGAATGTACTCTACGTTTTTAAATTCTTGGGAAAAAATCAAAAGAAGAATATTTTGTGTACAAAATTATTCAAATTTCAGTGTCTAGAAATAGTTTTATTGAGACACAGCCACACTCAAACATGTAAGTATTGTCTATGGCTATCTTGGCAGTAAAACTGCAGAGCTGAGTATTTTCAAGAGACTGTATGGCCCACAAAGCCCCCAAATATTTACTACTTGGCCCTTCCGTCAAAGCTACAAGACTTCATTAAGTTTCGGTTTCTTCCGCTGTAAAGTGTGCCTTATTCCTACCCTGTCCACCTCACAGAATTACTGAGGGGGAAAAAAATTAGATAAAGGTTCCCACCATCTGTTTCTTTTCACCATTGTATCACTTGTGCCAAGCACAGGGCCTGCTACATAGTATATACTAAGTAAATATTTGCTGAATGAGGGAATGAACCAAGCAGCTGTTTATCTACTATACAGAGTCAGGAGTTAATGTGGAGACAGAGCTGGAGTTAACTGCCACAATGATAGTAAATTATGATACTTGTTTTTCCTATTAAATACAGGTCTTACATCCCCCAACAACCTCCTCTCTAGATCGTAAGAACCTGTGATGTCCACACTATACCGAACTTCAACGTGCTCGCTCAGATCTCTCCAAGGCCAATTCCAAAAGTGAGCATATGTAGAGTATAATATAGTTTACAAAACACTTTTTTAACATTATTTATTTCTTCTGTAAGGGAGGAAGAAATATTCCTCTACTCTAGGTTCTTCTGCCTGGCCTACGAATTAAACTGACCTGAGACAGAGTAGCAGGAGAAAATCAAACAAGTTTAATAACAGGTATACCTGGAAGAAACCCAGGAAAACTGGGTAACTCACCAAAATGGCTGAAGCTACATCCTTAAACACCACCTTCAGCTAAAGACAAAGGAGGATGTTGGGGGTCCTGGTTTGGGACTTCAAAGGGGAGGAAGATAATTCACATGGAGACAGAAAAGCAAATGTTTGGTAAATAAAAGTTGGCTGTGCCTTGCAGAGACAATGAGACATGGAGAGGACTTTGATCAAGTGGGCCTTGCTTGGTTCCTCCCTGTCTACCACACCTAGTTCATCTTACACTATAGTTCTCTATGCTGATAGCTACTTCCTGAAATAGGCCTTCTACCTTAAATTCTTTCAGGCAGTTGGGGAAGGTCAAAGTTTCTTCCTGAGTCTTTTGTTCTCAAAAATAATCAAGCCAAAGAGACACTTTAGAGATAGTAAATTCTGCTCCCCTACACCTCATTCAGCAAATATTTACTATCTACTATATAGCAGGCCTGTGCTTGGCACAAAGGATACAGTGATGAAAACAACCAGACAATGAGATCCATTTATGTAATTTTTTTCCCTACAGTAAATCTGTGAGATAGACAAGGGATAAACAGTCACATTTTGCAGAGGAGGAGACAGAAGTTTAGTGAAGTTTTGTAACCCGCCCAACATCACACAATTAGAAACGAGGCAGAACTAGGCTAGTCCACCACACCAAGGTGCCTTCAGTATTGTTCAACACAAGCAACAGAAAGTAAAAAGCATTAGCTTGTTAGTAGCCTGCACCCAGAAAATTTCCCCAGTATTTCTTGGAATGCCACTAAGTAACTTAGCCAAAGAAAGTTCTGTTTCATTTGAGTGGGAGTCTTCTGCCATTATCTCTCAGAGTCTTTGAGCAATTCAGATTGTGGTTGGGAACAGACTCTGACCTCAGACTGTCTGCGTATTAATCTCAACTCTGCTGCTTTCTATCTGTGCGGCTTTGGGCAACTCACAACCTCTCTGAACCCCAGACCCCATCCATAAAATGGGCCTGATAATAACACTAGCACCCCCATAGGGCTGTGGTTTGGATTAAAGGCAACAAAGCAGAAAACTTAGCAGTGGTCTTCTCTTAACAACCAATCTAGCCCTCGACCACCACCACATCCCACTACTGTTTTTCTTTTCATAGCTCTTCTACCTAAAATTATCTTACTTGCTTGCTTTTTTATCATCTGTCTCCCCCACGTGACAGCAGGGATCATGTTTTCTTATTCAATATTCTATCTCCTGCACTTAGGACAGGGACTGGCACATATCAATAATTGCTGAACGAATGAGGAGCTCAATAAATGTAATGTCTAGGAAGATCACTCAGGTTTCAACCTCCCTGTACGCAAAACAGAGTATTTACCGCTCAGATGTTAGGAAGTCCAAAAGACACTACAAATGTAACTAGAAAGCTCTGTGTAATATAAGAAAGGGGCTGGGGGAAACTCTAAAAGGTGTATCACCGTGTCGCGGTGCAATTAGTAGTGGGAGCGGCTCAAGCCCTTAGGCAACTCAACACTATCTGTCAAGCCAGGGGCTACACCCTAAAGAGTGCTGAAAGACGGAGGAGGATGCAAAACGCTCCAGAGGGTTGCAGAAACACTCGCCCCTTTCTTCCTCTCTCCACCTTCCAACTGTGCATACTCCTTTGGAAAGGTGCTCGCCACACCTGGAGGGCCCCACATAGGAAGCAGGACAGGTGCGGGCGGGGAGCCAAATTCCCCCAAAGGGCAGCAGCGGCGGCACAGCAATGACAGTCTTGAATGGACCTAAAAGGGAGACAACCCGAATCTTGCGTGGGGGCCTAACTGGGGGGGGGGGGTCCCAATCCCTCCCCTGGGACTAGCCAACCTCCCCACCCCCGCCAGCAATGGGCAGGGGAAGGGGGGACACTGTCCCCCCTCCAGCCTGGTGGTCCCACAGCACTGGGGCCGTCGGGGACTAGCCCCCAGGGCCGCCAGCAAACTCACCTCTACCGCCAGCTCCTCCGTCGCTCACATTCCGACCCCGCCGCCTTCCCCCCGCCCCCCCAGGCCCTTTGTTTTGATTCCCGACTCCGCAGCTCCCGCCGCCGCCGCCAAGCGCACCCTCCACTTCCGCTTCCGCACCGCACCGCCCCTGTCGCAAAACCGCCGCCCTTCTCTCCCCGTCGCTCCGCCCCTTCCTCCGCCCCTCCCCCGCCGCCGCGTCCTCCCCGCGCGGGGCGTGCTGGGAACCCCGGGGGGGGCGGGGCCTCGCGGCCCTGCAGCCTCGTCAGGCTCAGTCCCCTCCCGATAAACCCCTAAATAGGGACCTTCCCGGGGCGCGATCCCGGCTTTTGGGGCGCAAACCCCCAGTTTAAGGGGGGCCTTCCCCCTGGCGTCTCGTGGTGGCGTGGAAAGGAACCTGAAAGCGGAGAATTAGGGAGCTTGGGAGGTGGAACCGGGGGGAAAAAACCTGCCAACCGGGATTTGATACAATTCAGCCCTTTCGGGGATTTGAAGGAAGGCGATTTAAACGGGATTTCGATAAAAAACCCGATCGTTTTGGCTTTTGTCCTCCCTCTCTCGTGCTTTCTTGTCACGTGATGATTCTACTTTATTTCTTAAAAAATATGAAATGACGCATGTGTTCCGCAGCATCCTTCACCTAGTGCAGCCTAGTGGCCAGTGGAGAGAAGGATAGCCGACGGGGCTTCCCACGAGGTCCTTGCGGGCCGCAGGGCTCCTTGCAAAGTTGCCGCCCGGCTGGCAAAAATAAAGCGTGTGCCAAGACTGGGCTGGCGATTGTCACCAACCATTAAGAGGTCCTCGTGACTGTAGTAGGAAAGCGTCCTTTTTAAAAGCCCTGGTCCAGAGCTCGTTATAAATGCATGCAACTTTGCCAGTGACAGGCCGGGCAAGCAAAAAGGAGAACTTGGGAGTTGCAAAAGCCTTGTGAGGCCAACAACAGCTTGTGTTTTACGTGGATAGATATGCCACGTTTGGGGGGTTTTTTTGTTTGTTTGTTTTTTGCGCCTCACAATCTTTACTTTTACTGGAAATAAATTTTTAAAAAAACGAACTCAGTAATCACAAGGGTCGTTTCTGAAACGGCCAGCTGCTCACTATTTCCTGTTGCAAATTAAGGGGAAAAACAAAGCACATAGCTCAATTGAGACCTCGTTTAGGATGCGCTGGCTGACTACTACGTGAAAGTTTATTTCTGAGGTTGGCCAAGAAATAGATTAACTTTGCAGAAGAATCAGTGAGTAGAAATTGCCAGAAGAGAATTTTTTTTTCCCCTGAAGTCTGTAACGTTAGACAATTTCAGTAGGCAGTTCGCGTTAAGGGGGGGAAATTTCAGCAGAAGCTAATACATCGCTGTAGACATCCTTAAAGACACGTATTGTGGAAGGCAAGATCCAACACGAAGCTGAAGAATGCTTTGTGCTTGTATTTCATTTTCCAGAAGGCCGATGACAAGTATACACATCATCTGCCTGCTTAGGTATTTATTACTGGTGAGTAAATCTTCATTGTGTCTCTGTGTGGGTAGAATTTTCCAAGTGGGAATTAGAACAGATGAAAGACAACCCTGTTTCTAGCTTTTAGGTTTTTTTCAATGTACCAAACAAATATACTTCTCTTTAGAGGTGTTTTTCTTTCTCCTTTTTGTTCTTGAGTATCTCCGAACAAAGATCTTATTAGCTAAAAATATAAAAAAGGAAACAAAGTAATTGTGGACTTTATTACTTTTTAAAAAATGTTTTTAGCCACAAAACATAATAAAGAGCAGACACATTTTATTTGACTTCACTTGGCATTCTTTCAAGTCCAGAGCTGTGCTTGGTCTGCACAGGTTAAATACAGTAATAAAAAAGAATCAGTCATACTAAATGGAAAGCTAATGACAAGTCTGAATTACAAATAATTTTTAAAGAAATGCAATTTTGTTGTTTTCTGTAGAAAACTAGCCGAAGCAGAGTACACGAGCCCTTGGAAGCAGACCAAATTGTGTTATGAATCAAAATACAATTTGATGTTTGTGAAAGAGTGCTTTAACGTTTTTCTTGAAATACATTTTCTTAAGTATAACCTCTGTTAATCTTATTCCTGTTTCCTTGCTGGGCAAGTTTTTTTGATCAGAGAGTAACTTTCAGTTTTTTTCCTTGCCCAAATTAGGGTCTGCACATTCATGAAACCAGGATGAGGATTTTTTGTGTTATTTAAGTGGCCTAGTTGCCACTAAAGGAGTTCATCCCCAGCAACTCCTCTTCTGCCTATGTTAGGTTTAGTGTTTTGAATTCATAAATTATGATGGAAGTACTTAAAGTAGACAAACGGAGCTCTCTGCTCATTCATATCTGAAAGCTACAAGGAAAACAAATTGGGGGCCAGCCCAGTGGCAAAGTGGTTAAGTTTGCGTGCTCCACATCAGTGGCCCAGGTTTTGGATCCTGGGCACAGACCTACACGTCACTCATCAAGCCATGCTGTGGTGACATCCCACATAGAAGAGCTAGAATGACCTACATCTAGGATATACAACTATGTACTGGGGCTTTGGGGAGGAAAAAAAGAGGGAGGTTAGCAACTGATGTTCGCTCAGGGCCAATCTTCCTCAGGAAAAAAAAAATTCTTTTTTTTTTAAGATTTTATTTTTCCTTTTTCTCCCCAAAGCCCCGCAGTACACAGTTGTATATATTTAGTTGTGGGTCCTTCTAGTTGTGGTATGTGGGATGTCGCCTCAAGATGACCTAATATCTGGTGCCATGTCCAAGCCCAGGATTCGAACCAGTGAAAGCCTGGGCCTAATGACAAACCCATCTACCTAAACTCCTGTTTCCTGAAGAGGACTTTAATGATAATCATTTCAATGTCCTCTCCCTTTTTTTTAGCGGAAAATGAAGGAAACCGAAAATCAATTAGTCTAAATGACTTGGTCAATGCCGTTTAGTCAGGACTCATACCTCATCAATTTGTGCTTCAGTTTAGCTGTGAACTCGGGTGATGCTGCCCTGCCCAGAAACCTCCCAGAATGGTAAGGGTCAAATAAATTCTGGAGTGAAAGATAATATCAGAGCAAACGCGTCAAGAAGCTGCAAATGATTTACTAGCATTTGGGACTAGGAGAAAGTTTCCTGAAAGACATTTTGGTACTTTCCTTAACCCTGTTGAAAGTAGGCGGTCGTTCACTTTTGTGTCTCGGAGCTTTTTCAGGAACTAGCAAGGGCTCGAAACAAAGTTGAATTCCAGAAAGGTCATTCTTAACCACGGCAAGGAGGTAGGAGGGCTTCTAAGAGTGTGGTCAGAGGCCTCAAAGTAGCTAAGTTCTCTTTCCCTCTAGCATAGCGCTGAAGAACAGGGGTGTAGGAGTCAAACAGACCCAGTTTTAAAGCCTGATTTCTTACTATTTGTGAGACCTCGGGCAATGCGTTGACAAATAAAAATGGCAAGCAATAGCATATATTGGAGAATATGAGGAAGCCATTTAGTGTAAACCTAATTCGGCCTGACCTTGTCTTTCCAAAAGGGCTTGACCGTGGCTGTTGAGCATGCATTGTATATCTGCTTTAGAGATTCTCTATGGCAAGAACAAAGGCCTTTGAGATAAAGGTGCAACTTCCCTCCCCCTCCCAACGTTGGCATTCCCTTAAGGATTAAGCATCTTTCCTTAGGCTAGGAACTGATTGCTGCGCTCACCTGTGACCACCCAGCTCCAGACAATAGGCTTGTCTCCTGCTATGCCCTCTGAGATAGCAGACCCACTACCTGCTGTGTCCATCAAGCAAGCGCTGTGTCGACAGGGCAATCTTGTGACTATTGTGGGAGGGACATTTCAATCATATGTGAAACGTCCTGTATGGGGGTATATAACCACTCTGTATACCTCACTTCTTTGGTGCTCTTTCTTCCTTTGGGAAGAAAGGCCCCAGGCCATGGTCCTCAGATTACAGCTCAGAACAAACTCACCCAAATTTTCGTTTATAGATTGGTTATGGATTATTTTCGTCAACAGCGTTTAACGTCCTGCGCCTTTGTTTTCTCATCTTTAAAATAAAGGCGATAAAAGTGCTTTTCTGGGGTGCTCATCTTCTGGGTCTCAGCTCCATGGTCACCTCCATAGAGCAGCCTTCCCTGACCCTCTGAAGTGACCCCTCTCCAGCCCCTTCCTATCAAATGACCTTGCTCTACTAATCGCTCTTATTACCGTCTGAAATTATTTCACTTCTTCTGTTTGGTGGTCTCATCTTTCCTTCTTAACAGTATTAGCTCTTTGAGGACAGGCATCTTGTCTGCCATTTATTGTGCCATAAGCATGAGTGTGCAAGAAACATTTGTTGGTGAACGATTGGAGTTGCTGTGAGAAATGAAAAAACCCATGTCGAGAAGTTAGCATTGCACCTGACGTGCATCACCAATTAAAAGTTCATGATTAAAATTTGTAAAAAAATAAAATCTTTAGAAAAAAAAAGGAGGGGCTGGCCCTGTGGCCGAGTGGTTGAGTTCACGAGCTCCGCTGTGGTGGCCAGGGGTTTCACTGGTTGGAATCCTGGGCCTGGACATGGCACCACTCATCAAGCCATGCTGGGGCGGTGTCCCACATGCCACAACTAGAAGGACCCACAACTAAAAATATGCAACTATGTACCTGGAGGGGCTTTGGGGAGAAAAAGGAAAAATAAAATCTTTAAAAAAAAATTCATGATCATTTAACAAATGGATAGTACTTAACTATGTGCTAGGCACTGTCCTAAATGCTTTTCAAATACTTTGGCCTCTGCATAACCCTATGAGGTAGAATCTCACGTGAATTCCGTTTCATAGATGAGGAAACTAAGTCACAGAGGGTCTAAGTTACTTGCCCAAGATCACACAGCTAGTAAGGGGCAGAGCGAGAATTTCAAAGCCACCCTCGAGATCAAGGTTTTGCACAGTAAGTTTTTCTGCCTTTGAAGAAGATAATGATGTTGCAGATTTTATTTTGGGCGTAAAGGACTAGGAAGGACATGGGCATTCCTTAGGCTAAGCGGACCTGGATCTTTGTCCGTCCGTCTGATTTGAGGAAAGTGCAAGAATGGGAAAATGCAACCGGTGACAAGGGGAAGGAGGCGTATTTTCTTGAAGTGCGTGGCCCACAAGCCCAAGCCCGTCCCCGAGTGCCCGGGGAGCAGCCTGCCAGCCAGAGCCTCCGGGGGCCCCCTCCCGCCCAGGACCGCCGCGTGGCCGCGCCGCGCCCGGGCCCTGGGAAAAAAGTTTCCAAACCGCGCTGCTCGGCGCTGATTGGCCGAGGCGGACGCGGTCCCGTGGCGCGGCAGCCAATGGGCGGTGCCGGGCGCGGGGGCGGGGGCGGGGTCCGGAGGCCCGGGCCGCTCCCCGCCGCCGCCGCCGCCGCCCGTCCTCGGCGCCCGAGCCCGGTAAGTGCGGGGCTGCACCCGGTGCGGGTGGGAGCTGCCCGGGGTCCGCCACCGCCGCCGGGGGGACTCCCCCGTCCCTCCCCGGCGCCCGCCGCGCTCTCGGGACCCCCGGCCGCCGCCTTGTGGGGACCCCAGCGCGCCCCTCGCTGCGCATCGCTCCCCGGCCGCCCCGACTCCGCCGGTCCCGGGCGCTGGGCTGGAAAATCGCGCTGCCCTGGAGCGTCCTTTCCTAACTTTGTGCCTTCCCAGCCTTGTGTCCTCGCGCCCGGCTGCTCGCCCTTGCCAACTTTGTTTCTCTTTCCGCGCTGATCTCTCTCCGACCTGCTGCCCTCCCCTCCCTGCTTGACTTCCTCGGTCCTCTGCCCTCCCACCCCAGACTCCTCTCCTTGACTCCCCTAGTCTCTCTTCTCGCTCTGTTTTCTGCCCCTCCTCAATCCCTGCCACCCCTTTCCTCCTGCTGCCCCCATCTCTTCCCCCCACCCGCCCCATTCCTCGCAGCCCCCTTCTCGCCCGCTTCCCCACCCTGCCCCCCACCCTCAGCGCAGGCCTCCCCCACCTTGGCACCTCTCTCCCTTCGGGAACGTGTTTGGAACAGTCTCCTTCCCTTCGCTTTTCTCAGATCTCTGCTACAGGACGTTTCAGATTTCCCCTGCCAGCGCTTTGGGCAAGGCTTGGATAAAGGATGAAAACGCTTATTCTCCCGCTTGAATGCAGCGGCCGGGCTTACCTGCCTCTCTGAGGTCATGGGAAACCCCGCCATCACCTTGACACCTCTTTTGGGAAGCTGTATTATCTTCTCCGGTCATCTCAGGTTCTCTGCCTCCTGAGGGTCTGAGCCTGCCTGATTTCTTTGTCCAGGCTTTGTAGCAGGTTGTGCCCCCTTTCTACTTTTAGCCCGAGGCCCCTTTTAAGTTCCTTTCTAAAGGAATGGCCTTTGCAGCGCGCGCTGGGCCGAGATTTGTCATTTTCTGTGCTAGTTTTGTTTGTGTATTCTAGGATAGGATGGCATTTTAGGATATAGGTAGGGTGCTTTGAAGAGTAATTGAATCCCAGCGACTCCCGAGAGGCACCTGTTATCTGACCACTCCCCCACCTCCCACTGCC